CGTTAAAATGACGAAATCGATTTTCCGGAGCATTACATAACTTTCTCTATACTATGTATGTTACTCTGTATATACACAGTGTGATCAAATGTATCCGGACACGTCCTAAATGGTGTTATGGTGTAGTTGTGTTTTTAATGGAGGGGGCTTGCACCCCTTGTTGTTTCGTGTGGCACTATTACGGCACAGGCCTATGCTGATGTTTTAAAAACGTACTTCCTTTCCACTGTTGAAGAGCAATTTGGGGATGGCGATTGCATCTTTCAACACGATCGAGCACCTGTTTATACTGCACGGCCTGTGGCGGAGTGGTTACACGACAGTAACATCCCTGTAATGGACTGGGCTGCACAGTCTTGATGACTTGAATCCTATCGAATACCTTTTGGATGTTTTGGGACGCCGATTTGGTGCCAGACCTCACCGACCTACATCGATGCAGAGCAGCACTCCGTGAAGAATGAGCTACCATTCCCCAAGCCTTCCAGCACCTGATTGATAGTATGCCAGCGAGAGTGGAAGCTGTCATCAAGACTAACGGTGGGTCAACACCCTATTTCAATATCGATTCTAGCACAACCGATGGAGGGCGCCACGAACTGTAAGTCATTTTCAGACCCGCGTCCGGATACTTTTGATCACATATTGTACGTACGTATACGAGAAAATAACAAGTGGTTCTACAGAACGGCGCAGATTTTCCCGTAATCGTTTTCTATTGTCTTTGGGTTAGGCTAGCTATTCGGATTTACCACATACTGCTGCTAGCTGTCATCTATATCCGCCCAAAAGTACATATTTTTAATTCTCAGTTTTTCGGTTTCTTAATAGTAGAACCAAAATGCTAGTTTAAGAATATTAAAGAAGAGTAAAACCTTCTCCTAAATAGCAATTTTCACTGAAAATTTTGGAGCTTTACTGTAAATGCGAAATTTGAAGATTTTTCCCAAAAAGTTTTTGAGTTTTCAAAACTTCATTTGAAATAATTTGAAGCACTTTCACTAAAAAATGCAATAGTTTTTACAAATCTCTCGAAGTGTGCATTTTAAAGACATGAGAGATATTTGAAAAAACATTTATGTAATTTTTGAAAAAAACAAAAGAATACAGCAAAATGAACTTTATTCATATTAAACAGGGGAATTAGGACAATCCGTTGCAAATGTTCGATTAAAAAAGTTGGAGCCGTTTTTGTGAAAATGGCGTTTGAGCGTTTCTGAAAGTGCGGAATTTTGATCACATTTTCACAGAAAATTGATGAGTTTTTGAGAACCTTTATAGGGGAGAGGGGGAGAGGGAGAGAGGGGGAGAGGGAGAGGGAGAGAGGGAGAGGGAGAGGGAGGGGAATATAGTAACACAGTTATAAAGTGATATTGGTCCGATTTTCACGGTTAACTCTAAATTTTTGAAAATTTCATAGGTAAGAATTTTTTTCAGTGCCTTCCTACAACCAAAAAATTGAAAATAAGAGGTTTTACCTTCAAGGGAAATTTTTTGTCTTTAATTAATTCTTTTATTTATGTTAGGGAAATTTTTTGAAAATTTTAGTAGTTTTCGCGCAATATTACGTTCAATATTTGCAATTAAAAAAAAATAGCAAAAACAAAATTTTTTCAAAAATCTCTCCAAATTTTTTCTTTAAACTTTTGGTAGGGATAGTACTAAATTCACTCTATAAGATAGCATAAACGCGATATTGCTTCATTCTGTTTTTTCAAAAATTACAAAAATTTATTTTTTACTTGTCTTCTACCTCGTCAATATTTACATTAGCGGCAATTTCTTTACCTTATTGGATTTATGAGAGCGCTTTAAATAATGTTAGATAAAGTTTCCTGAAAACTCAACTGTTTTCCATGAAAATGAGCTCAAAATTTTGCATTTTCAGAAACGTTTAAACGTCATTTTCTCAAAAACGGCTCCAAATATTTTCTTCCAACTGTTTGAACTGATAGTGATGATTGTACGGTTTAAGATTACAGAATTAATTTTCCTGTATTAATTTGTTTTTCAAAAATTAGACAAATGTAATTTTTTGAATGATCTGCCACGTTACTATTTTGCACATTTCCTTCAATTTGTAAACACTATTTATTTATGAGTGAAAGTGCTTCAAAGACTTGTAATGGAGTTTTTCGGAAACTAAAAAAGTTTCTGTGAAAAAGTGCTTTAAATTTTCGAATTTACTGTAGCTCTTAAGTGCCATTTTCTTAGAAACGACTCCAAACTTTTAGAAGAAAATTGCCATTTAGGATGAGGATTTACTTTCTTTAATAGTCTTTAAATAATAATTCCATTTTATTATTAGGATGCTGAAAAATTAAGAAAACATCATCACAAAGAGTATGGTATTTTAGGCAGCGACAGATGGCAGCTGGCAAGAGTATATGGCAATGATGGCAATTCCGAACGGCTTGCTGAGACTAATGGAAATAGAATACTAATACAGGAAAGTCTGTGCCATTCTGTTCCACCAATAGTTTAAATGAAGTTTTCACAAAATTTTGAGTGAAGTACAGACAATATTATTTGGTTTGCTGGTTTATGAAGTTATGAATTGTTAGTGGAAACTAGAATATGAAGTTAATTGCAAGGGACTGACAGGATATGATCCAAATAAGTGAGATCTTCGTGTTTTATCTGGAAAAACAAGAAACAAATTTATTGCTATGGAATTTTATGTAGATGACTGTAATAGCGTTAGAGAAGAAGCAGTGATTAATCAATTATCAATAAAGCTATGGCAAGAGATCACTATAAAATAATTTTTACAAAATATCATGATTTGGAATATTTAACATTGAAGATAAGGAAAGTGAATATTCATTTCATCCAAAAATGTTCATTGAAAATAGGAATATAATAGATGCGGAAAATTGTCACTCAGTGAGGACTCATTTAGGAAGCAAATTGGATGATTAAGAAGATTCTGGTATGGTTGACATGGTATATTATTGAGAAATTTTGGCAACTATTGGGTATTGTGGCTGAAACAAGACCAGATTTTACACACACACATATATAGCAAGTCATCTCAATACTGCAAAGACCTAAGAGAAGTTCATTTTCAGACTCTGAAAGTTATTCTGAGATATCTACAAGTATTACATTTGAGAACTGAGAAGTATCCTTTGGAAACTGGTTATAAACACACATGCTAATTAATGTACAACAAAATATTCAATATCCTAAAAAATATGTCAAATTAGAAATGATATGTTGTCAGAGCAGAGAACACACAGTAATTGCTTTTTTGACAATGGATTTAGAATTAATCAGTCTATGTTATGCTGTATGTGAACTAAAATGGAAAGTAGTTTTTTAGAAAAATTAGCACAAAGTGACTTGATTCAAAGACCAATTATAATTTATACTGACAATCAATCTGTAATTAATTGGGTAGTAATTCAACACTCAAAGCATGAAATAACACATTAGTTGGAAATATAATTTAGTAAAACATAATCATGATACAGGAGAGATAAAACTACATTCTCAAGAATTGTCATAGCTGGAAGCAGATGCATTGACAAAGGATGTAAGTGAAGAACGCAGAAGACAAATAGAATATGGAGTATTAGTACATGCAGAAAATTTATAACACAAAAGGTGGAATTTGAAGATGGGTAAATCATTCTCATAAACATTCATTGCATTGTGTAAGAGAAAAGACAGTTAGGAAAACGATGATGACGAAAGAAAGTTCGTTACAATGTCAAATATTTTTTATTATATTGCATTTTATGTCCTCATGTACTGGACAAAGACAATCATTTACAACAAGTCCTAATTTATTTTGTTGTTAGGAGTAATATAAACAACTTTATTCTCTAGTGAATTAAAAAATAATTAATTAACTTCTAATCTGTTCAAATGCACTGCAGTGCAAACAATATCATTTAAAAGATTAAAGATGCAATTCCTTTCAGTAAGCAATACTTAAATATTAAATTTCAAATTTCCTACTTTTGTGTACAAAGTGGAAATGATACACATAATGTAGTCACAAACTTAAAAATGGATTAACAACTTTTGAGAATAAGCCTCCTTGGCCGCTAATGTCACTGATGGGGATGGACTTTGTTACTCACGAATAAGATCTTATTTAACTCTTTTGGATCATAATTTATTATTATTGGTCACATTTTAAAAAATAATTAAAAGCTTTTATATTAAGTACATTTTATTGGTTCTTTGTACATTAGTTCACATCATAAAATTATTACACTTATTGTCACAACATCCTCTTGTAAAAAATTTAGAATACTGATGGCAAGCACAAACATTCATTCTTCACAAACAAACATGCACATGTACAGCACAGAACGATATTTTAACATTCACAATGCAATTTAACATGTTATACATAATATACATTGACATATAAGCTTACAAAGACTCATTAAATATTTGCAAAAAGTATAAAATATTACAACAGAACACAGGAGAACCTAGTTATGCACTTATAATTACACTAGGTTTACTGTGCCTTAGATTGCCCCTACATTGTAGATATAGTGATGATAATTTTTTGTTACCAAACTACAAGACTAGTAATGAAATCCAATGCCTATTTGTAAGTTAAATAGACACTGAATAATTGTTTTTTTAAAGTTAGGTTTCACGGATGAAATGGTCCACTTTGTGAATGATATTATACACAAATATTAACAATATAGCTGCCAAACTGATATATAAACAAAGAAAAACAAATGTATGTATTCAGATTAATACTGGCACATGACATAATTCGAAACCAAAACGTATAATAAAATTTTGAAAACAATGTTTCAAAATATAAATAACAGACAGAGCAAAGAAGAGCAAGAAGAATTCATGGTTTATTTTTAATGAATAGTTTCATTGTATATATGCCTACTGACACTGAACCCTTCACTGAATAAATCGTTTCTCTCGAGAAATTAAAATACAATATTAAAAACATACAAATCACATTTTAAACTGTATTGTACAAAACATCTAAAACACAGTACTAATGTTTTAAGAAATTTTTCTTGAAAATAAGAGCCATTTAAAATTTGTTTTCATAAACTAATACACATTACAAAGGTTTTACAAAAATGTGGAGTAGAACTTTGATACGACTATATTATGCCCAATGGTTAAAATTGAAACACAATAGAGATGTAATATTAAAATGTTAATTTTTTCAGATAATTCATTTCTTCTCCACTTCAATGTTATTAAACAAAATTCTCTAACAAAAATTATGCATGCTGAGAAATACAAAAATCACACATTTAAAAATTCTTAAATGCACTAAAACAATTGACTCTTGCAAAGCTAATTTAGCCTGCCTGTCCTTACCACAAAAAAGATGAAAAATTATTTTTAATAAAATTTCATCTTAGCCTCATTTTGATCCAAATTACTTATTACTTACAATTATTAATGTTGCCAACCACAATACTGCTGAAATAGTGATGTAGAGCACTAAAAACTCTCAAACAAAGATGTGCTGTCTTTGGCACATAACTGTAAATCTTGAAGGCATATATTTTTTTTAAGTGAAACTTGAATTTTTTTGAAGTGCAAGACTACTTCACACTTTTATCTTTTACTCGCAAATGCATAAAATTTATCACACACATTTCTCCATCCAATTTTTTTCATCTTCCTTAATGTGTTGTAAAAGTAAAATAATGTGGAAAAAATATGTTAGTGAATCAATAATTTTTTGTTTGCCTTTTGAAAATAAATAACACAAATTTCTTCTTCATATTTACTTTCTTGCATTGAAAAGGGGATCTTTTTTTCAATAAGAATGCTTAGTCTTTATGGCTGTAAAACTATACTTAAATCCTCCAATAATAATGATAATAATAATAATAATAATAATAATAATAATAATAATAATAACAACAACAACAATACTGTGAATTTAGCATGTGTTTGATCAATTTTCATTCAATTAGTTTTACTAAACAAATATAATCATCAATGGGTTCCCAAGAATGGCAGCATTGATTAAGAGGACATTGGCAATAATTTATAAGCAGTTTCAATATACTATTTTTCAAACATTTGCATTATAATTCAATGAAGTGCAATCTTTTGTACACTTAATACCGTATATAAAAAATTTACAAATATTCATGCTAGAAAAAAAAATACATAAAAATTTTATGCATTTTCAGTCTTCGAAATTACATTCAGTAATTCTATAAAATGATTTCTCATCTTCAACTCTTATGTCTTAGTCTCTTAATCAAGAGTGTTTCTTTTATTTTATTGCACTATCTGAGAAAATATACTTTAAAGCATTACATATCATCCTAATTCAAGTTTCACTCTACTCTTTTAAAAAGATAATACTGAAAAAAGTAGCAAATCAATATTTACAAATATTATATAAAAGAAAATGAAATAACAATTCAAAGCAAGAAATATGGAAAATATTTCAATATTAGGCCCAGATTAGGAACAGATTATTTAAGCTGTTCCGCGGAATGCAGTATCACAATAGGTGACTTCTTGTCAGAGCTCTCAAAAATTCAATGTAATCTGGTTATGCAGATATGAAAGACTAAAATGGAGTTGTTTTAGGAGAAGAAATATCTGGAGAATTATTTTGGAGGCTGAGAGCAGTGGCATGTATAAAGTACAAACCACTGATTTCATGTTGTATTGAGTGAACATTTTTTTGTTTCAATTGTGTGTTGAGAGATAACAGAAACACCATCACTTCAGATGTTTTGGGATTTTACTGGTTTTTCATAACAATAACCCATATTAAAGTTATATTTCGGTTAGAATGCTAATTTTTAAGGGAATATTAAAGAAGTTCAAAAATGTTCTTAAATTTTATGTGCTTTTGAAGAAAAACTTTGCTCAAGTTCAGAAAAAATTCAAATAAAGTGAGATACTAATTTAAATTTATTTATTGCAATTATTGTTTAGCCTGATTAGAAAAAAATGATTAAAATCTAAAATGGACTAAATCAACTTTACAAAAAGTCTAAAATAACATTTATCAAATCCTAAAATCCGGGTCCAATTCATGACTATGAGACGTTTACTTCAAGGAATAATAAAAAGAATTTCAATTACACTACATCACTATAACATCATTTTTACATAAATATCTTCAATGTTTTAAAAATATTTTTGAGAAGTCACTTTGTCACAACATAGGTTGGTTGAGAACATAAATAAGTCAACGACAAAGAAGTGAAAGGTAGAAGCAAGAAACTTTTTATGTATTCATAAAATATTATGGTTTGGCCTTCCTAGACAATTTTGAGTACTTCATAGGAGATACAAAACATTAAATTCTGATAAATGAAAGAATTTAAAATATAAAATACTACTTTCACAATAAATAATACAAAAAAATAACTTAAGTCGTTCTAAGTATCCTTTCAAAGAACATTTTGGTTTTCAGAAAACACAGAAGTACATGAATAAATGCAAGGTGGGTTTATCACAAAAACTGCCCATTTGGAGGAATTTTTGTGATATGAGTAAATTCCTTATTTTATCATGTTTTATATGATAATTTGTCCATTCTACAACAAATTCAAGTATAAAATAATAATATTATAGGTACAAATAATACAAAATTCAATTTTCTTTGAGAAACTGCCAAGCAATATCAAATATTAAAACTGAGTAAAAATAGTGAGATTCTTCTGTCATTTGATATTTCCCACTCGTTGAAATATCAAGATATAACCCTCACAGAGTATTCCATTTGAGCAAATCTTGTCATACAATACTGCAATAGCAGTTAATTATCATTGTGTGTATAAAACTGAATGTAACAATAGTCACTTGCTCCAAGCTTAGGTCAAACAGATGTTTCCGAGTTGAGTCTCAATACAAACTTGTTGGACTTTGGATCAACAACTTCTTCAGTCACATTAAAATGAGGTAGAGCACGCACAGTACAAAGCAAGGAGACATCATTCTGACGCAATTGGAAGCTTGTGCCGTGGCTGAGAGGGCGTGACAATAATTCATCGCAAATAAGAGCCCACGTCTGCACTGGTCTCTGTTCCTTTTCATTCTGAAAATATAAATATTTTCATTACAGCTAACATCAACTCACATCAACATGTACTTTTCTCTCTCTCAAAGAGTTTATCTTTTTTGACATTTTTCTCTGCAGAGAAAGTTTTCATTACAATAAAACATATAATTATTATTTCAGAGCATCATTACTCCTACTTTTTTATATCCGCATAGAAGGAAATTTAACATTAAATATTTTTGAATGATAATACTAATGTGTCACAAGAACATACAAGAGTAGATACAGGGGAGGATAAGAAGGAAAGGGAGAAAGCGTTAAATGGGCAGGTGTATGAGAAAATCCTGTACTATTTAAGAAAAAAATAACTATTTAAGAAATGTCAAAAGAAAAGTCATTGCAAAATTTTGTACTCTGAATTACATTTTCGGAAACATAGCTCAAAGGAGAGAATAAGCAGGGTATGCAGGTATGCAGGAGAGAGGGGGTGGGGGTGGAACTCGGAGTTGTGTTTTTGACGACTGAAGGAAAGAAAAGAAAAGGAGAGCTGTAATATTGTGGATAAGATCAAAAAAATTCTGGATAAGAGATGGACAGATATAATGTGGATGCCACATTTTTTATAAAAGACAAAATAAAAAGGAACAAAAGCTAGAGGAAAGGATAAAAAGGGAGTTATGGCAGAGAGAGGGGATAGGACATAACACGGGGGAGAAAAAACAAAGCCGTTAAAATTTGTCTTAGAATTTAGAAGTTTAAGAGCAGAAGAATTAATATAACATGGTTATATTATAACTTAAATGCATCATAATAATAAGTAGTAATTAAAGCAATATACTCCATGACATTTCTGCTTTGAATTCATAGGCATTCATTATTCAAATAATTGACTTGTTGCTATTACTTTTGGAAGTTCATTCTTCTTGGCTACATTGAAGATACGTGTACATAATCAGCTTAATGAAGAATAGCTAATACTTCAGGGCTTAAACCCACACTTGTAAGAGAGGACCAAGTTCTGTCTTTCATTTCTAATTATGTGATATACTGAGCAAGAATGTTTTTAGCAAATTGGCAAGATCAATTTCAAATTTTCTTGTATCTGACTGGATTCCCTAGTCAGAAAAGATGGTTTCTGAAAGTGTTAAAGCAGTAACACAGAATGATTCTTTCATAATGTAATAAGAAGATAAGTAATAATAAGAAGAGAAATTGTGCATCTATCCCAAGAGTGAATCAGTTTTAAAGAAAGAAATTCCAGCGTCCTTATAATAGCTTGGACAGGTAGTTTTAATAAACCATATCTTTGGATAAAATGAACTTTAAAATAATTATTTTTGCGGTAATTAATTTCTAGGATATAGTTATTGAGTACTGCTAGAGAATGACAAACTTTCTTGTGCTAATTAGTTTCTTATTCTCTTCAGCGACTAAAAGACAATCAGAGCTTCTTGTAGGGCATTGTTCAAAGATAGTTGTACAGACAGACACATCACACAGAAAAGAGTCACAGACAGACAGACTGACTGACTGACATACACATTTAAAAAAAACACTTTTTCTGTATTAGGGATCCCCAAAACGTGTATTTCTTTTAAAATCTCAAAATCGATAACTCTCTAATTACATAACTCCCTCTATTCTATGTATATTACCCCATACATAGATATGTATAAGAAAAAGTAAATATGTTGGCATCAGTTTTATTTAATTCTTGGCAAACTCACTTTAAAAAGGCACACTTTTCCTGTGCATGTTTGCGTGCTTTGGTAGTTTTTGGATGCATTTTTTGGTTCATGCAACTTGTACTTTTGGTTATTTTTTAATGCATGGTGCATATTTGGACTTCTATCTAGCATATTAGGAACTTTCTTATTATTTCTTAAGATAATTTGAAAATTTTAAAATTCATACATATTTTCTATAAATAGCATACTATTCCTAGAATCTGACAGTTCCTAGACAGATTCTAGCAGTTGTCTTTGCTTATTGTTTTACTACAAATTTTAATCCTCCAGTACACTGCTAGGATTTCCAAAGTGAGTACAAGCGCTGTGAATAAATTAACACCAAGCGATAAAGTCACAATAGATAATTAAGTTACAGGAAGCCATGAAAGTAAATATCACTCGACAACTGACAATGGAAGGGGAAAATAATCAAGAGGAGAGACTGCCCTCTTGCATGCAAACAATAAAATACCCTATCCGCAAAAAAGTGAATATTTATAGGTAAGAAAATTTTGTAAAATTGCTTGTAATTGAAAACAGAAATTAGAAACGGCAGGTTTAGTACCTCTAGTGGAATCATTAAAAATTGTTTAAGACATTCAAATGCCTTTGGAGTTAGTGTTTGGAGGTGTGAGTGGGACTGCCAAAGAAAAATTATATAAAGCCTTAAATTCAAATCCTGATTTGAAATTTCTCCAAAATTTAAAAAATATTATTTGTTATTTAAAATCAATAAATGCAGAATTTGAACCCTGAATCTTTATTTGATGATACAAAAATCAATTATTTTCAATTGTTTGCTTGCACATTATTCATAAGTAATGTCTCTAGAACCTTATCCAGAGTTCATGTTTTCTTCACACTTGATTCTGCACTGTCGCTAAATGTCGTAATCCAGTCCTGACACCCTTCAATGCCTCTTGCAGTATTGAAACACCATCCCATTCACCAAAGACCTTTTTACTCATCTAATAACGTAGAAGATCCTTTCAGTGGCAGCATGGCATTGCACAAGTGGCTAATGAAATGAATCCCTTTTTCATATGGTGCAAAAGGTGTCCTCAGGTTGTGGGGCTGTAGCAATTATGCCTACACCGAACACTACATGCTTTGTTCTGCACAATCTCAAGTAGCTGTAGCATGGCTGTAGCATGAAGCTTGAAACATAAGCAAGCAGTCACGTGTTGCCGCTGCCAGTAGTAAACCAAGCAGGAAACAGCATTTGTTTCCACAGTAAAACTGTATGGCACAAGGTCATCAGTAAGGTCTAGGTCCACTTCTTCCACATCAGGGGAGACATCTTTGATTATGACCTTCAGGGGTTTTGCCAAACTGCCTAGTTTGGCAAGTTTTGCCAAACTGCCTAGTGTTGGAATTTTGGGCTTTGGCATATTTTTTTCCAGGAGGGGATAAATTTCCAGGACTTAGTATTTTTCATGTTCACCATAGTCGAGGTTCAAAATTGGCTATAAACAAATCTTCTTGTGCTTATTTTTAATGTAAGTGAATTGGGTCCAGCGACTTAAGTTCACTATAACCAGTCAACAGTATATGCTGTGGCCATATTTGTGGAAATGCGGTATGAAATGTTAGCAAAACTTTCGGCAAGGTGTATAGAGACTGTATAAAAAAAAAGTTGATTTTTGGTAAAATAAAATTTTCTTCTTTTAAAAAGTTGCAGACTTGTCCAACAACTAGACACAAGCAAACGTCCATTCAGAAAAATTAAAATAATTATGTGATTGACCCTAGTACAACCCCATAACAATCCCATGTAAATCAACAAACATAATGCATAATGCTTTTGATTGTTTCTTTTATTGTCTTGTTAAAATGTCAAACGACATACTTATTTTATATGGAGAATTGTGAGATCACCAGAATCAATAAGATCACCCCATACACCCATAATTCTTAAACTAGATACCATGGCTAAAACCAGAGTTAGCAAAAGTGAGTAGTAAAAATTACATTTCATAATAATAATAATTTTAAAAAATGATAATGATAAAAAATGATCCTAAGAATTAAGATAATGCATATTTACAACATACACTTCAAAACATTAATATATTACGATTTTGAAAAAGGTTATTAATTTTATATATCTTCCCATGAGTGAATTTTATAGTACCAAACACAAAATTAGGTTGTTAAACTCATGTTGATTTAATCTCTTAAATTAATTAATAAATTATTGTCTCTATAGGGAATATTTGGGAGAAAAAAATCTCCCTCAAGAGTTTTGGTTTCTTAACAAGTATTTACAGAAACTTTTGCGGTCAAAACGCTTCAAAATAGTTTTAAGTGTTTTGTATTACATATATGTGTAATACAAAATAATGTTTAAAGTACTTTTAACATAAATGCATCAATGGAAAAATGTAGGTTTTGAAAATTCAGTAATTTTGTTGTATTTTCATGAATATTTAAACTTAACTATGTCTAAAATCTGATATCTCTACATGTTGTCCTACATTATTTCATAGATCATAAATGTAAAGTTAACTAAGCTTAGTGACTTCTTACCTGCAATACTGGGGCTGGCACTAAAAATGGTTCAAGAAAGGCACGAGGAGTGAGATCATGGCTCAAACAACTAGCTAGGTGTGCAAGAATTGATTCCACTGAATGACGAGGTTGTTGTCGAGTTATCCGCAAATACTTTTGCAGTGCACGAGCCATTGATGGAAAAACTGCTTGTGCTGCCTCTTGAGGGTCCATTGGTATTGCTGGAACTGACAATGTGTAATAGAATATAACATAGATTTTATGTGGAAGCAGTCACACCTCCACACATGATTTTTCAAAGACTACTCACTACAGATCTTATCATCCATTACATTAAACACTGAAGCCGCTATATAATCCTTTCTCTGAATTGTAAAAGGAAGAAGTTCAAGAAGAATTTCAACACCACATAACCTCCATTTACAGTTTCTCTTTTGTTACCGTTTGCTTAGTCTTCCAAACAGTGCACTAGCTGGCTAGAGAAAAGAATTTTAAATCAAATTTTTATTTACTTCAGTTCCTCAGCGTGAGCGATGACCCCTTGTTCATAGTTTTCTAATGCGATTTCCAAAGAAGTAAAAGTAGTTGAGAACTGATCTACTAGAAAGGGCATTTTCTCATTCTTTTAATTATCTGATTTTTATGGGTTATATACGCATTTGTATATGTAATGTGTGAAGTGCACATGAAATTTTGAGGTAATAGTTCTGTTCTATTGTGTTTTGTAGCATTTTGTTCCTTAAAGGTAGTGAAATTAATGAGCTAGCATTACAGAGTTGAAAGTGACAGAGATTTTATCATTAATTACAGCGGATAAGGAAAAATAAAGTTATATCACTAACATCAAAATACATAGGAATTGCATTGTGAAGTAGGCATTTGCCTGAAAAGTAAGAATAAATGAATAAATATTGATTGCAAGTGGAGTGAAATTTGAAAAGCTTTAAAAACTCAAAAGTTTACAAATTATACATCTTCTCACAATGCTACACTAATGGACTATCTGAAATGGTTATTCAATAATAAAACTGCTGATTTAATAGTGTAACAGGCTAAAATTGATGTAGTTATATGTGGTAACTGTATAACTTATGTGCACAAAGAAGAGAAAAATCTGTGTGTGCTGTGGAAAATGCATATGGCTGATATGGCATATTACTGGAAGGGGGTCTGGCCAGAGCAGTTATTCAAGCTTGAAGGGTTAATCAATGATGCACAGAAATAATATCATACGTTAAAGTAATTGAAAAGATTTACAAATTAATAAAACAAAGGTAACTGATTTTCTCTATAAGTTTAATTCTCGTTTTTTTTCTTCTAGTACTCTCTCATGTATTTAAATATAAAAATATAAATGTATACCTGCAGAGCTGCAAGAAATTCCTTGATCTCCATGAAGACGTTTTATGTGTGTAAATGCTTCTTCTGCGGCCGTTATTAAACGAGCTCTTCGCTTTTTCACACGTCTCTCATAGTCATGTTCTTCATAAAACCTCTCATTATGGCTTGAATCTCTCCTTCGAGCATGAGCTGCTAACATTGCTCTCGACTGACTTTGCTAAAATAATTAATACAAAATGTTGTATTTAGTCCCAATATGTCACTGTCAATCTAAATGGTTGAAATACTACAACACTATGAGCAGACAGTCACAACAACAATACAGAAAACAAGAAAATTACCTGTAGAGAAGAGTTATTCATGCCATCTACATCATAAAATTTAAAACTGGAGCCTCCTTTGCGTGATTTTGAAACTGGAATACGCTCAAGATATGGATTGTAAATTGGGAATTCTGTGTAATAATGTTCAAGAATCCATACAGCAGCTCGCTGGATACTAAGCTGTCCAATTGCATATGCTCGACTCTCACCATCTGGACTTCGCACAATCTAGAAAAGAAACACATATATGAATATTATGTTAACAAAATATATGTACTGTTCCACATCATTGAAAATTACAACACAAAACCTCTGTGATTAGATTAAATAAATATTTTTAAAAAGTAAGGCCAATAATTCACCTTTACATAGTATGTTGGCTGCAGGTGTCTTATTTCTACAAGGACTACAGCTAAATAATGAATAAACAGAAGAGTATCTGTTAAACTTGATGCATATGAAACTAGTCCTTTGTATTGCACAGCTTCCCCTCCAGTAGTTGATGCAAGAGCACCCTCTGTTACTTGAACTACATAAAACAGCCAATAGGCAAATGTGCATACAAGTACCAGGACCAAAACGGTAGCACGAAAGAGAAAAATTCGGGGCATTGTTGCGCGAGGACGGCGGAGAAACACAGCCCATGAACCAGCAGCCAACAGAACCTGAAATAAAAATATTATTTCACATTTACTCTTTAAACTGGAAACTGTCAACAATACCTCTAAAATAACAATTAACAAATATACTTTTGAATAATACTGAACTTGATTTGAGGAGCAATTCATGAAAACATTATTACTTCACGACAAAAATAAATGAATTTCGAAATAATCCTGTTGCAGGATTTGACATTATCTGGTATAAAATTATATTTTCTTTATTTTGCTTTATCTATGTGTTATTTAAATAACTTAAAATTCTTTGATTAGGTGTCTTAGTTTTAAAAGTTTATAAAGTTTAAAATAAGAGTATGAACTCCCTTAGTATAAAATTGAAATGTATTCTGTAGTTAATACATTTTGAAACTTTGCTCCACATTTCTTCATTCAATGTCCACCATTACGTACGAAAACACAATGACATCACTTAGGAATGAATAAGAGAAATTATTAATAAATAAATATTTCATTTAAACACCTTTCAAATCTTCTTTAATCTCAATACAATTAATTGTTTTTTAAAAATTCAAAACATTATTTACTTTCAGTCAGGCAAAAAAGGCATGACTATAAGTAACCCTCTCAGATAATACATAGTTTACAAATTATACTGTAGAACATATACTGTCATAATACTTTACAAAAGAGGTACACCTACATGTACCTTGAATGTAATAAATATGGGACCTCAGCCTTCCAGTTTGTGGTATTAAATTTTGACAATGACAGAGTAATACAGTCCAGTTTATTACAGCTTCCTCATTGTTATAGTTATCAACACATTTTGCCTCAATTTCAGTCTACAATGGAGTATATCTTGATCCACTCTCAAGCCTTTCATATTACAAAAAGAAGTAGAGCTCTTGATATATTTTTATATAAATATCAAGGTAGTATGGTTTTAATTTTGCACATTCTACTACCCTAAAAATACACGGGCTGAAGTCTAGTACACGATACGATTTACAGAAATCTTTTAAACTGGCACCGTGTGCCGCTTCGGCGGCAACTGCCAGTTTGAATTCTGGAGGCTTCCTTGAAAAGTGCTTTTTTATAAAACATTATTGGTAATTATGCAGTGGATAGACTCAATGTTTATGGTGAACATGAGGGCTGAAGGCCCGAGCCTCGGCGTGACGGATCCGGACAAGCCAAGCGTAAAAACTAGCCTTTGAAAGTAAATTGGCATTACAATGCAGCAGGGACAAAGCGAATGAAGGGCGAGCCACAAAAATTGCCTATCCATAAGTTTTATTCATTTCTATCTGAGCAAGTGGCGTAGTTTAAGGGAGGGCTTAAGGAGACCCCTCCCTGCTGCCATGCTTCTCATAGGGTGTATAGTGTACCCTAGTTTAACCAATACACGTAACACTCTTAACCACTACCCATCCAAGAAGGGCTGGACAATTATGGATAATGGAAGCAGAGAGGTTTTGCAGAGCATACCTTTCTATATAAGATTATAAAATTGTGGAAATTAGATCTAACAATAACATCTAAAACACAATGACTTACTAGTTTAAATGCTAGTGACACCAACAAGCCTTTACATTCTGCTCCGCAAGCCAGCAATTGAGATCCTGGTGTAAGGACTGGAAAGAATCCCAGTTTAGGGAGCACTACCATGGCTAAGGGTGATACAAAAGCAGCCACTGACAATACACCAGTGAGAACTGACCCTAAATACCGTTGACATACAAAACTAATTCCTGTGTCTGGTTCACCAATCCACTGACCACTCATGCCCATATCTTCTGCATCTGATTGTTCTGAAGTATTGCCAGTAACAGCAGTGGTATTTTCTCCCCAGTTATCATCCTACATAAAATAGAACAAAAGATTGGATTACACTTAATTGCAAGAAATGATTTTAATTACAAAATTCATTTATTGCACAAAACAGGGTGACCATTATTTTTTTAAAAAAATTCCCAGACAATTCAATTTGCCCAATTTCTATTCTTTCCCTCAGACAATTATTCACCCTATTTAAAAAAATAAAGTAACCTTTGCATACCTGTAACTAATTTATTAGCTCTCAGAGAATCATGAGAGAGACAAAATTAATAATATGTGTATATATATAAAAATTATATAAAAAATTAACTGTATTTATGGTTGATTGCTTTCAGAAAAAAAAATCATTTTATAATAATCCAAAAAATTCTACAGATTCTTCTCCAAATTCCTTGAGTTTTCAGTAATTTTCCCCCTTTCCCCACCCTTTTTATTTTTATTTATATATTTAATAAGAAAGTGACTCTGAAAATATTAGGACATCTAACCTGAGGCAGAATTTGCACTTCAATAACTTCTTGACCATCTCTATTTTCTTCACTAAGTGTTACTGATGTCTGAAACGGAGCCATTGGTTCTTCACCCTTTCTGTGACTGCGAGTGCTTCTAAAAAACATTGAAATACAATGTTCATAACATTTCACTATATTTATTGGGATTAAAGAAACTTGGAATTATTAACAAACTGACACACCAGAATCAAAAGCTACTAAGATTCTATATTTTTTTACAATGATTTAAGGCTAAATCAAATCATTTACTTAAAATTTAGTTTTGTATCACTGTAATTAAAAAATATTCCACCCCTCTCTTTTGTGACTACTCTAATTACACAGTTTCATTACTGCTTGGTAAACTTTTTATTACCATAAAATACCCTAGACAAAACTTCAACAATCAGAAATCACAATATCATTGTAATAAATATAAATACAATGAAATGCCAACCATTTGACTAGAAAGACAAGTCTTGCTAAAATCATGGAACTGTCAAATGGCAAATTACATGCTTAAATACTAAATTTATTCTTCCAAGTTTACAAATAAAACAATGTCCTATCCAAAGAATTTAAATAAAATAGCAATGAAAAATGGAAACGACTACTTATTTCAATATATTTTTCAAAACCAATATCAAATGGCTATGTCAACTTGTCAAGACAAAGTCTTAAAAAATAAATAATAATTTTACCTAAAAAAAATTTCATTTATACTCAGTAGCACATTTTTATTGCCTTTTTATTAACCATTCTAAGCATAAGAAATTAAAATGATCTTTTACATTTAATACACTGGAATTTAAATAAATATAGACAAAAAACATTTTAAACGATTCATATGCTTTCTTGAATGCGGAGTATCTTCAAATGCAATTTAAACAAAGGTCTATTCTTTAAAAGAACATCAAGCCAGTTAACAAAAGCAAAAGGTAATTTAACAAAACTCCATTGATTTTACTGAGTCATTTGTGCTCACAAAACATAATTCTTTTTCACTGATGCATTTTAAATTCTTAATTTAAATCTCATATATAACAGCCTAAAGAAATGAAAAAAGCAGCTTAACTTGTAAGGTAAGTCCAAAAGTTATAGAATTATTCTATATGTAATCACAACTATTGAATAAAACATTGTGCCCTGCTTACAAGACATACCTTGAGCTACGATTTGAATGTAGCCGATAATTATTTCTATGTGTGTGACTACGAGATCGCCGAGAGCGAGAGCTCTGTTCACTCAGAGCTGACTTTACGGACTCTGTCTCCATTCCTTTTGGTAGATATTACCCCTGCAATGCAGCTGGTAACAATGGTGTAATCTACTAGTCACCATCAGGCACACCACAATTTCACTGTAATCTGAGCAACATCTAATGACACAATCTATTTGTGTTTTAATCTGCAATGAAAACGAATAACTATTTACAACCACGAAAAAAATAAAAAATAACCACATACTTCCATTTTATGACACAAAGTTATTAGTGACAGTACTGATGTAGGTACTGTTTAAACCTCTTCCATTCTACACACTTACTTTTTTTTAAACTTAGTGGTATCCAAAATATGTACAATTGTAATAGCTCTTTCCCACGTCACTGAAAGCACACTATGGTTATTGGGGTACATTTTTGTGTCATGCCAAAATGTAAACATTGACACACAGTACAAGCCGCATCAGGATAACTTTTCGAAATATCTAGAAACTGATACAAATCGTAAGAGTCATACATCATGAACTACATCAGTACCAGGAAACACATCCTTTTTTCACAATTTTGTAGAAACAGTATCACACTTTAACTTCCACATACAATGGAATTTCCACTGATTTTTACTGTAATTACCAAGCGGCCTCTGCACTACCAACATTCTGAGTTTGTGGCCATTGACCTCATGTATCGTATAAACATCTACATCATTATACACAGATACCATTCACAGTCTCCCATCCCGATTTTTCATATTCCGCACAATTGGTAACTGTTTCGGAAATGCACGGTTTAGTGCAACTTCATTAACAATGCACATATTCGCACCATTATGACTTCTCGCTGGATGGTTGGTATTACACCGAGTGCGTGCAAGAATGTGAAAACAGAACTTCACATCTTTGACGCCAGGGGACGGTGATGGTAGGTGGTGGAAGGGCGGCCAGGGAAGGTAAATCAATTCGTACGAGACTCAACTGAGGATCGCAGGTAGCGAAATGGTACTTCGATAAACCGTTCGGTCATTTATGGGATTTGAAATGAATGTTTTATTTAAAATAGAAAAATGCCTTTTGACAACTTTTATTGGAAATGGGCCTTTTTTAAAAAAATTATTTACATTTCATTTACAGCTCTTCATGATAATAATAATAATAATAATAATAACAACAAATAATAATAATAATAATAATAATAATAATAATAATAATAATAAACTACACTCCATTTTATAATAGAATTTCTTCATATTCCTAATAAATTCATGTTCCTTCAAGATATCAAGAAAGTACAGTCACAGAAATGCTTTAAAAGACTTTCACACAAACATAAGACATTTTTATATTTTTCTTCTAGTTTCGTTTTTCACAAATATAAGAAAAAATTACGAAACACTACAACGGTTTTTTTCTTTATGCTCAAATTTGAAATTTCTACAAAATCAATGCACACTGAACTAGTTTTTGAGTTCTGCAATACAAATTCAAAAAATACTTAGGAAACAAATAATTACAAACAAAATGTTTCATAAAACATTTAGTTGTAACAACATTGCAGTAAAAATTGATAAAAATATTGTGAAGTAATTTATCTTGCTTAAAAATTTGTAGAGTTAAGACTCCCTGAAAATATGAAACCTGTTTTGTACGTCACTAAATGTCTTGCAGTATTCTTTAACAAAGTTATAAATGTGATAAAAAGCAAAATAATAATATTTTTGAAGTTTTCATACAACAGAGAGTTTCACTTATATTTCCATATTTTTATACACAGGCTATGTATATCGATGGAGTTAATACAATTAGTTGTTTTCCAATTCTTGTGAAGTCATCAATATGTTCTTAATCAGAAATGAAATATTTTTCTCGGCTTTTGTTTTTCACCATGAACAGTATTCTCAGTGGAAAATACAGTGTCATTTCTTTCACTCTTATTTTTAGATGACTTCTGATGGATCTTGACGAAGAATATCCAGTTCATCAGGAGTTACATGAATGCGTAGTTCTTTCTCTATTAGAAGGTCTTGAAGTTGAGGTAGTTCTGCAGGCAACAACTTAACAGCTTCAGTGTACAAGACCTGTATAAAAGATTTTGATTCAAATGAATCTTTATTTGACTTTCATTACATTACTATTATATATCAAATTAATCATGCATACTTTTACCCAAGGGCACTCTTCAACTGCCCGATAAAATATGGAATGGTAAGATGTATCCTGTCTGTGTTCTGCCAGAAATCGTAAATACAAACGCCACAACATAGAGCATCTCTTTGTCAAAGAATCATTTAATAATCTATTATATAAAGATGATAATCTGTTTTTGACACTTGGATCAGGAACAACTGGTCCACCTTTAACATAAATGTATCATTTTCCCCCTTAGAAGTTAAGTGTAAATCTTGTACAAATAATAATTATTTTGAATTCACAGAAAACACACCACACACTGCTTAAAGAATGTATAAATTTATTTTCAAAGACACAGAGAAGCACACAAAAATTAATAAAGAAATTACATACATATACATAAACAATAAATAAATAAAATTTGAGGACCGTAAGCAGCTGGATTAATTAGAAAAATACTTTATTACACAAATATTTCTGGCTCTTATATTAAAAGGCTGGAACATTCATATGAATATTAAATAATCAAATATTCTGGTTACTTGGATTTTTTCATGAAAAATCAAGTAGACAAACTATCTGAACATAAGTGATAAATGATTAAATAAAATACCAATTATGATATCCAGTTTTTTATTTATTTACTTTTTTCTACTTCCCTTTCTACTCCTACTTCTATAAATTTCATGGAACTACAATGTCCAGAAGGAAACTGACAGATGATAATGATTTTCATCATTTTATATCATCAGATGAAGGTTTAATTGTGTCCCATGGGAAATACACACATATATTGAAGATAAATAATATGTTTAAAAATCATTAAAGAATACTAAAAAACACAATCACAATATATACCTGCATTTAAAAATTCATAGCTCTGTTGAGTAGCTATTTGTAGCAATCCACCTTGATACCGCATATAGAAAATTTGAAATATCTGTGCCAATAAACAATTTGATTCTTGGAAATATTTTGTCAGTTTCCACCAGGAACTTCCATTGCAACCAACAGTTGTCTGAAAGAATAATATTTGCATTTTGATTAATTAAAGTTGGAGACACAATGCATCAATCCGGACACCTAAATAATAATAATAATAAATAAAAAAGTGCACTGTAATTTAACTACATAAAAACATGACATACTTAGAAGACCTTTATTTGAAGAAGCTTATTCTCTTGGATTGTTATAAAACACTGCATTATTTTGAAATGGAAAATATTATTTATTTTATATAATACTTTGATATGTTGCATCTTATATGGTCAAAGGTAAATTAAAAGGACAGAAATCTAGAATTTTTGTCACATTCATAGAAACTGGAATCAAATGCGTGTTTCCTTCTTTAACAGATGTTTGTGATCATTAATTGTTTTCTGCAATCAAATTCCTACATTTTTCTCATAAAATAAAACTAACCATCATTTAAATTTTGGATAACTTTAATTAAAATTAAGTAAAGAAATCAAACATATTTTAAGAGTAATTCCTACAATTTTATAAGATTGGTTTTTCACCTCAATATTCGCAATTATTGAAAGTAGATGTAAATTATTAGGGAACTCTTGAAGACCTCTGTGTAGAACATCTTGCAAAACTGTATATACACCAGGATTATTTTTACTGTAGTAATACAATAACCCCACATAGCTCTCAAAAATTCCTTCTCGCTGGCATGTGGACCTGAAAAGAAACACATTTTCACATTAATATAATTGAACATAAAGAGAGGCATGAGAAGTTGAAATTTAAATACAGGAAATCTAAGCCTAAAAATTAAAAGTAATTAATAGATAGTTGTTCACTCTACCCATTCTTTCATTTGTTCTATTATACAAAGTATTAAAATAACATCTTAACTATCATCATTGGAGTGAATCAATATCTGAAAACTAAAAGACAATTTTCTTGGATGCTGATTTTCAGCACTAAACTTTTTTTTTTTCTTCTGAATCAGCTCTTTTATTTTACTACAAGTATTTGTTCATTTATTATATTTGGCGAGTTAATCAATTTAATGTCAATTACTCTCAGATTTTTCAAAAAATATCCAATATAGCGCCCAAAAGAAGTGTCTTACTTAAATAATTTACTTATGCCCCCTCCCGATTCATCTCACGAAATGAAAATGTAATAGCAAAGAAATGAATATTGATACTACAGTTAAGAGATATTTTACTATTGCTTTTCAACAAATTGATAGAACTATACTGAAAACAACTTCATAGCGATCATCCCTTTTTCGTAAACAACGCTAAAACGATTACAATTTAGAAAAAAATTGGTACAGGTTTTCGACTTACTTTAGCACAGGTGTTGTGCTCGGTGACTTGGCAGAAGGGTACTTCTGAAGAGCTTCCTCAAATATTACACCAGCTTCCCAAACTGATTGTGTAAGTAATAACCACCAACCATAGCATGCTATCCAATCCACTATGAAGTCTGGCAGTAAGTGTTCTGTTCCATCGGCCAGCTAATTATCATGGAATAAAAAATGTGTGTTAAAATCATGTAATTAGAAATACAGATGTCAGAAAACTGGATATTGGAATGCAGTAAAATATTAATTATTTATTATGCTTATCTTCTCAAAATAATTATTTATTATTCATATCTCCTCAGGCCATATTTTTGTAAAATTCTTCTCTACAAAACCAACAAGTAATTTCAAAGCTAGTTGCATTATTAACGAAGCACCAACGCTTACAGCATTTCTTTTCTCAAGTGCATTTCCAAGATGTCCGTAATTGTCGTAATGATTCCATTAAAAAAACTGAGTAAAGAGTGGCAGAGCAAAAAAAAAAAAAAACCTAATGAAATTTTGCATGATTACAAACAGGATTCTTTGATACAGCAGAAAATTGCATAATGCTAGTGGCATTTAACCAAAGAACCTAAGTCCAGGGCACTAAAATTTCCTTTACCTTTGATGGATTTGCTACTTGCAGTAACATTAACTCTTATTAACCTAGATTTGTAGGTATGCATTTACAAATATATGCTTATTCGTTAATTGGTTACAGTAACAAATAATATAGCTTGACCCTTTCTTTTACCAATAACCCAAAGCAAGGAAGTTTGCATTGTGCAATATTATTTTTAAGACAACACAAGATTTTTTTTAATTCATTACAATAGGACTAAAGTCTAATACATGTATTGACATATTTCACATTTTGATCAAGTTCACGAACAGATGTATTTTCCCTAAAGAAAAATTCCAGATTCATGATTTGTGTAAATTCAAATGCTTTTGGCAGTAATTGTTGGCTTTGCATCTTTTAGATATAGGTCTGATAGATAATATAAAAGAGTTAAATTTCTCAAAATTGTTTTATACGTATCTTCCAAGAAGAAACAAATAGTTAAATGATATAAAGTATCAAGTAAATTATTTATAGCAAAAGAATCGTTAATCACAGCATTCACATAGGTAAATCGTACATCATTAAGCTACTGGTTTTGTATAAGTGTAGCCGAAAGTCCAATCCACAGAGATTGACATTTAAAGTTATATTTCGTTATAACAGGTATTGAAAATATTTATTTGAAATTCTGACCTCAGAACTAACTTCTAAAAGAAGTTCAGTGGTTATATGTCGAAATTTATTGGATGCAACTTCCCTCTCTGAAGTACTAATAACAGATGACTGCCAATTTGTTACAGGAGTGCCAAGAACTGAAATTAGACCAAAAACAAGCAAAGTTAATAAGTTCACACATAAATTTGAGCAAAACAACACACTTTGTTGGAAAATTAGCATATTTAAATCAATACAATTATATATTATTCACCGAACTACAAGAGGACGCTGAATATTAGGCAATCCTCAAATTTTGAAGCAGAATCCTTTGATTTTTTTTTATTTTTAACAGTTCTAACTATTCAATCCCAATAAAATTACGAATTGTCTCATTGATTAGCATACTGTTTTGTTGATAAAGATAAAACTTTGTGTCTGCATTTATATAAACTTCATTATCATCATTTTTGAAACTAAAAATATTGAACTATGTTCTTTGTCTTTCATCTAATGCAACCTAAGAATATTTTATTCCTACCATGCTAGTTCTACTTCTTTAAGAATTCTTTATTAACTTTAAAAAAATTCACATCATTTCGTCTGTATGACTACAGTTACAAACTCATAATCCTAGAACTTCAACAAAACCTCAGCCCCAATTTTCATCCTTTTCACCCCATTCAAAAACCTGGTCTGCTTTGCAGGTCTCTTCGGCAGCGGGTGTCAAGAAAATATGTGTTAGTGGAAATAGGTTTTTTGTAGATATAAACAGCATCAATATGAACAGTACCTTGGACTAGGCCTTATCTATGAATGAAACTGTATTTTTCAAACAAGATATTTTAGGAGGGAGAAAGAAAAAGAAAAAACACTGTCTTATTCTCAAGTAAATATAGTATTTTGATTGCAACAGTTTTTCTTAAAATTTAAGATTTCACTGATTTTTTTAAATTTGACATTACCTAAAGCTGCCAGTACAGCAAGCACTTTAGTTTCCCTCTTCTTTTCATCATAGTCAGTTTCCTTACGAGAATGCAAGAGAATTTCACATAAAGTTCTATATAATTGGCAAAGTTCACCTTTCTTCTGATTACATGCAATACTTATAACAGGAGCAGCACCTTGAGCTGCAACTGCTGTAGTAAGCACTTTACAGGCACTTTCTTCTTGATTTATTGCTACTTCAAACAGAGCATATTCTACATAAAACAGACCATTATTTCTATTTTCATCACGTTTAAGGAATTCTTTGATAGATGACTTTATTTTCTTTTTCCTCTGTGGTGGTAGTTTACAGTGTTCAATGTTATCCAAAATGACTAGAAATCTTTCAAATCTAAGCCACCAAATAAACATTGCAGATCTAGCAGGTTCTTTTAAACATATAGCAGAGGAATGAAAAACTTTTGTCACAAACTCCAAATAATGCTCTTGACCAGGCCAACTGCTAGTTAGATATTGTGGACCATACACAAGATTTATAGCACCTTGCAAAAACGTTTTATCATTCAACAACAATGTGTGTTGAGGATAATACATCGTCAGTAGTACCTCCACACCATCTAAGAAGGAGGGCACTTGATGCAACCCAATAGACAGCATGGTAGTATGTCTCCATGGAAGACAAGGAATCTTGAGAAGTGTCATTACAATTAGTGCAAGACGAATACTGAGTTTTGGTGAGGTAATAGGATGAAGCATATCTGACACATCATCTACAAAAACAAGACGTTGTGGATCTTCACATTCAACCTCGGATGACCATGGAAGCCAATGGGCAGCTTCTCGAAGTTTTTCTATTCTGTACCATAATTCAGGTAATGGTAGCTGTGAGTTGAGAACTGTTTCTTCAAGGTCAGCTGAAAGAAAAGACAATTACTATTTAATGATCATTTATCTTATTATAACTCATACATACATTTCAATGTGATTAACACTTGTCATTAGCACAGCACAATTTTTAATTTTGTTAATTAATTAAATTAAGAGAAACTGTAAGCTTTACATAGAAAGGTAACTATAAAAAAGAATTTAAAAGTTAATATTTATTTACTAAATTTTTAAGTTTCTTAACCAACTTTCTCTAATTTATTTACTAAATTTTTAACTTTCAGATTTTATGCAACTAGCTCCAACAATATAATCATTGCTTTCTCTTATCTTCTCAGAACTTTATTAGCAGTACTTGTATACTGTACTTGTCCATTATTCACCAAATTACTAGCCATTCCGTATTCTCACCAGAGAGATATTACACGTTTCCTAACACAATAATGGAATATGTGAACACAATATGGAATGTTAAAAAGAAATATAACAAAATAATCACTTACCATTAGTATTTTTTAATGGAAGTGTTATGGATTCTGTGTCAGACAGCTTCAGAAAGTGATATTTTCAAAATTCAGAACAATACACAATATAATTATTTCGTAAAATGTTTCTAATTAATGCAATGAATAATATATTAATTTGCAAGGTATGAGAAAAATCAAAACATTGAATTATGCCAGAATTGTAATTAAAATGTTTTTATATCAATCATCAATTAATTCACAAAGATTACTAAAAGAATTGGAATAACATTCTCACTGCATCAGCCTTTGTTAGTAAGTGGTATACACTTGCAAATGAATAAAGTTTAGTCCTATGAATATAATTCAATGAAAATAGGGGGAAAAAAACAATAAATTGTTGTTTCACTTGAGCAAAACTTAAAACAAAAACATTGAACGTTTAAAAATACCACTAAGTTGTTAAGCTATATAAATATTGGCTTAACAATATAGATAAGTCAGTTTTGAAAGTTTAAAAGACAGTTGTAATTGTACAAAAGAGTAAGATATAATTAAATACAGTAAAAAAAACAACGGCCACCATACTTATTAGATCTTCTGGAACAGATATAGATGACTTAAAGAGATCACTATCAGGTTGGGCTAGATTTAGCTCAAGGTAAATTCGCAGCAATGTCCATAATTGTTCCCACAATCCAGCCTGTCGTAAATACAGTCCGCATTCAAGAAGCAAGTCTAAGAATGAATATTTGGTAAATTAATTTTTTTCCCTTATGCAAATGCACAAAATTAAGTTTCAGATATAAAAAAACTGTACAATTACCTAAAATTCCAGATTCCATTGGAAAAACAGTGACAGATGGTGCACCTCTCCTTAACTGATGAAATTTTTTCATACCCTTTTCATATAATTTCATAACTGCTGTTGTATTACATAATGATAGAGAGCCCTATAAAAATGCATTACAATTAAAATTTAAAAGAGCAATTAAATATACCCTCACAACATAAAAACACAAAAAAATATTTACTAAAACAATAAGAAAAAATCATATCTAGAAGAAAATTGCCTCAAGAGTGTTAACTTACTTGCGTTACTCTAATATAAGCACGCCATAGTACAATACTGCCTGGTGATTTCTCAACCATTTGTAGTAGTTGTTGAGCTAATGTGTCAGCAGGATATAAACGCTCTGCATTGCAGAATCTTTCCTGAAGAAGTCTTTCATTTTGGGGATTGTCAGTAAGTGCTTTATCCAGAATTGATATTTTTCTTTCTGTTGTGACTCGTAAACTTTTTGCACTACCTCCTCGACGATACATTTGTTCAAACTGCTGCACAACATCCTAAGAAAAGAAAAGTAATTTTTTTGAGAAAATAATTATCAAACTTATGTGATATTTGAAGTAAATTTTAAAAAGTTTAGATATGAACAGAATAATGAACACATCAGACAAGAATCTGTTTTTTAAAATAAAAATACGAATGGGATGACAACCACACACCTCCCACGCAAATGCTGTATCTCACATTTGGGTAAAAAAGACTAAAATTATCACACTTCTAAGATGCTTTTGGCATAAGACTAGCAACAACATGAGAAATTAATATCTGCAGATTTTTAAAGTTATATATAAAAATATGTCAGTCTTCTTTACTCCAACATGTCTGATAAAAATACCGAATATGATAAAAAATCACTAATAATTCTCTAGTAAGAAAAAAATATCATCTGCAATATTGGATTTGAAATATTTTATGAGATTCCAATTATGGAAAATACTTATATACTAAATTTCTGAAAACAACTGTCACAACTGCTTAGGAAGTTGAAAAATGAGAACATATTGAAATGTTTGAATAATACCTGAAATTTGACATATTCTAACCAAATATCTATATTGTTTGGTTCTTCAGTCAAAGTTTTATTGAAATCTGCGGTTCTCTTCGATAACTCCTCTTCTAGATGAAAATTTTGCCAGTTGTTATCACTATCAGTAGATTTCTTACAATTTTCCAGATCTGCAGTTTCCTCATTAGGTTCTAGGACTTGCATGAAGTATCTTTTTGTTTTTCTTTTCTTCTTAAATTGATATGAAATGTTTTCCATAATACGAAATTTGGTATAATATCTGAAATCGATAATTTTCAGTATTTAGAGAGACCATATTGGAAGGAGTATCACTAACTATAGTTCAGAAATATTATGAAATAAGGGCATTGTTTAGACAAGGAAATGAAGATAATATAAAACAATATTTTCTTTTCTATTGAAACAATTAATAACATAAGTAGAATTGACAAATACTTGTTTAATGTTTCCTGCTTGCTTTTAGAATAAAAAAAATGAATGTAAATGAGAATTCTGTTAAAAGGAATACATACTGTGGAACAAGAGGTCTAGTGAGAGTTTTCACAGTGAGGTATCCTCTTACACTATTCTTGTCTTCAAAGAACTCTTTCTGAACACTTTCATTTACTGTCTTCACCCTGAAATACATGACAATGTTATTATTAATGATGACGATAATGACAATCATTACATATGAATTTAAATAATAATATTATTTATTTTCCTTGAAATAATAAATAAATATTAAATTTTTCACCTTTTGTAATCCTTTAATTTGTCTTTCTTTTTATGATGTTTATTTTTTTTGGTATCAACACTGAGCACTTCCACATCAGGCACTTCCGTAGAACTTCCACTCTCATCATGAACACGTTGAGGTTCACTTGGCAAAGGAATATCAGCAAGATTTACAGGAAAACTCTCTATATTTAACCATGCTGGACGTGACACTTCTGAAACATGTAAAATGATATTTAACAGGGCCCTTCTAGTCATACAATAACTGTACTTGACTGCACTTGCACACAATTGGGCACAAAATATTCACAACTTTACAACATTATAAGCACCTTCTTTGGTATTTTCTGCTGAAGCAGACTCTTTTTCTGCATTTTTTGCTGAGGCTGAATAAGCTGGAAATAATGCCATAGCGATATTTTCTTATTTATCGACAATCAATTATATTACTTGATTCCATTTCGTGCGGCATACAACACAAATTAATATGACAGCTGTAATCAAACATACAGTCATGTACTTTTTTTCATAACACATATACCTATAACCTCACTTAACCCTATCTCATCTGATCACTTAAAATCCAGGACAACTGAAGTTCGTATTCTCAAAGCAAGGTGTAACAACCTGAAAATGTCTACATTTAATAAATATAATTTTACCAGAAACAAAGTTTTCAAAACATATTCAATTAAATTTTAAATATTGATTTTGAGGGAAACTTCGGAATGTGAATTTACTTCCAATTATACAAGTACTGACTAGTACAGCTTTTCCAATTTTACTTTCTCGCTCTGCTTACGCAGTATAGGGAAAGTTACGTAATACTGCGGGAAAAACGGAATTTTCGGCAGAAAAACTCTTTTTGTCGAAACTATTGAAAAAATTGCCCTAACACGTGGTGCAGCCAGAATCCATGTTTTATGGGTTCTTGATAGGTACCGAAAAATTGACAGCAAAACGACTGTCCGTCCACTCTCTGTCCATCCGTCTGTGAACAACGCTAAAGCTAAACCATTCAGCCGATTTTCGCCAAAACTGATCCCCTGATTATGTGGATACTTGAATTTGAAACCGATACTTTAATTTTGGGGCTACTTAACATGAACTGGGACATTTGGGACCACTGGGACATTTGGGACCACTGGGACATTTTCAAAATTTTCTAAGAAATGGCTCCAATTTGTTTTATTAAATTTTGTTGGATAGCGTAACATACGCTTCAGAGAGTGGTGAAAGTCTCAGTTAAAATCCCTAATTTTGCGAAAATTGCAAATTTTTTTCCGACATCTTCCTACCACTTCAATTTTGAAGATAAATTTTCTTTTCTCGATGAAATATGTTTGTCAATAACAGATCCTCAAATAAAGTCATGTTTAATTTTTCAAAAATATGAGTACGTTTGGCGTAATTTTGCGTCAACGTTTTTTTGTTTTTTTTTACAAATTTTTATCTCAGAAACGGCATCTAATTCTTTTTGTTAAAGTTTGACCTCGGTTAGAATAAATGACACTAAGAGAAAAGCGCAGATCTCATTTTCGTAGAATTCCCAGATTTTTAAATATTGCAAAAATTCAAATATTTTTTCGGTATCTTCCTACAACTACAATTATCCATTTTTACCCCTTAATGAAATATGTTTACCAAAAATATCTTCAAATAAAGTAATTTTTAACGTTTCGAAAATATGAATATTTTTGCGACAAACATAGGCAATTATCAAACTTTAAATAATTATTTTCTCAGAAACGGCTCCAATTTTTTTCCGCGTATGTAGCAAAGAACGGTAAAGAAAGCGATGCTGGTCCCGTTTTAGGGACATTGTATTTTTCAAAAATTGAAAAAAAGAGGAAATGGAAAATTCGAATTTTCGATTGAGGTGTCACTTTAATGGTAATGTAATTTGAAAAGTTTTCTGAGGCAGTCATTTGATTAAGAATCTTGAAAAGAAAGTTTTCGTTTAATATTATTTAATTATTAAATCTATTCTAAACTGCGCCATTCAATTAAGTTAAATGTATAAACGAATAGATCATTTCGCTTTACGTAGAAAGGTGCGATAATGGGTACTTCAAGTAGAAATGAGTGGTTTTGATGAATATAACGTTATAATTTAATTATTTTGTTTTTATATCCATTTGCATTTTGTTGCTAGAGGTATCAAGAATGCTTATTTGCAAAATTTGTATGCCACACGAATCAGCGGTCTTAACCCCTTGTTGCCACGCCGATCTGATAACAGGAGGCGATAGTGACGGCCGCTGGTGGTTAGCGTTAATATAAACTTATAATTTTATTTACGGCTAAAATACATGTCGTGCTTCGTTGCTACATTTATGAAGAACGTGAATACATTGAATTAAATGTCACAAAACCGTTTTCGTTTAAACGTTTGTTTAAAAAAATACGCATTTTTCTCGCTCCAGCTCATGCAAAATGCTCAAGCTAGAATATAAGTTGAGATAACTCGTGTTTTCAACAACACACGTCATCAAAAGCCGTCGTGTGCCGTTTCGCATAAAATACATTAATCTTCGACGTGCTTCGAATTGACTTGTGCGCAGGCACCAACTCAGCTGACAGCAGCGTTTGGTGACGCGCATCGACGATCTATACTTCGATTTATTTGTAATGACGCTTGGCGTAAATCAGCTGTTAGTATGTCTCCTGTGTGAGCTACAACCAGCGGCGGTGACAAGCGATAGTTTGCGTTGGCTTCGAGCGATCATTGCGAAACTGTGTGACAGAGCATGGAGTGTCCAGGGTAGGCGAAGGGAATCTCAGAGCATGGGGTGTCCTCGGTAGGCGACAGGAAGCTGCGACAGCTACAGCCGCAGCGCCGCGTGGAAACCCAACTTCATTCACTTCTATAGGGATACTGTATAACATATTGTGATGTATGCACGACGAAATATAATTAACAACAGACAAATTCAATGAAAATAATATAAATTAATATAATTTCATAAAGAAATAAATACATAAACTTATTTGTTATTTTCAGTGTATCCGCTACTTCTTTTCACAATTCACCACTCACAAATCTATACGTATTGTGATATTCAATCTCTTGTTCCTCAATTCCCTTCTATTTTATACTTCTTCAATGAAACATTACGTTATGTCGCCATTCGGCATTTTTGAAATGGGAAATTAAAGACCAAAACAGCAAAACTATACGCGCCACACAGCGAGAAGTAGGGCCGGATTTAAGTAGTGCGGGACCCCAAGCATAAAATTGTGTTAGCCCGCCGAAAAATAGATCCATCTTTGTTAATAAAATATGTATTATAGTACAAGTACTTTCTGTACTGATACAAATGAAAACTGATAATTTTTTATAGGAATTTTCACTTGTGTTACATTTTTTTACATTAAATACATTTTACATATTTTTTTCTGCTCTTCACTGCAGAAATTGTCGATGATGTCTTCAAAACGAAGATTTCTCAAGATTATCATGCTCCATTCTCAGGATACTATAGTCTACTAAATTTTCTTGAACATGTCGTACGTAGATAGTGTTTTTTATCCGCTTCAGTTTACTGAATGACTCTTCTCCAGTAACAGTTGTTATATAGCGCAAGTACCATTCGTAACGTTGTTTCCACGTAGGAAATGCTTCGGAAAGGTTTTCTTCGAATATTTAGTGTATAGTTCTTCGTGATTGAAACTGGTATTCCGAATGCGTGTCTTTCGTACGTAAAGAAATTTAAAAGCTCAGCAGTAAAATCTTGATTCAGATCCTTGGATATGTACTGAGTACTCGTAGCTGATTTACGTTGCTTCTCACAACAGATTCTTTGCTTTCAAGCTCTGTCAAAAAGGAAACTTTACGAAGTACTGTTATAGCTGCAGATCGCGTCTTCAAGTTTACCAATAGCGAATCTAAGATCGGATGAAAGAGTGATTCGAAAGTTTTCTTAGTGTTAGATTTTCAATTGCTCAGATGCATTCCATCAGATTTTCATTGTCTCTTCCTTTGTTTTTTTTCACTTGTTGCATCTTGTAGTCTACATTCCGGTAAGCTTCTACATGATTTTGTTCAGATGTACTCAAATGCTTTCGAGTGTCTTGTACGAATGTTATAAGTGTGGAGTACAGATTCGAACGTGAGTGATGGACGTCGTCGGGGGTGCTAAGGTTTTAGATACCTTATGGAATTCATTTAAAATGTATTTCCAGAGCTCCAAGAAAGACTGTTTCTATTTTCTAGCAAACAAAATCGAGATAGTAATGAGAAAATATGATAAATGTTTTTAAAAATTTGCTTTTTAAGAATTTATAATACAATTATCAATAACATTTGTAATTTATGAATTATATAAGAGAAATTATTTTTATGTTTGTGTAGACTTGTATATTATTTTTAAGAGTAACAAAGTTTATATTTAGGTACTGTTTTGTAATAAATTATTTGAATAAAATATATTTATTTATTTATATAAATAGCGCCTCAGAATACTCCTGTCTATTATCTATTAGATAATATATATATTTTACTGTTGAAAAAGCTATTTAAAACTTGAACAACTTTTAATCAAACTTATATGAAATCCTTGTATTTTAAAAACATATATTATTATTAAACATATATTATAATATAAATATAAATTACCTTAAAGATATCAGAGATGTTTTGCAGGATAAAAAAGAATACGGGATGAAACGACGGAATCTATTGTGCATTACCACAGAATTTGCTCGAATTCTCAAAAGTAGCACAATGCAAACGAAAATAGTGTCTGTATTTTATTTCAAATATATTACTGTTAGATACGTCCCGAAGTAATAAGGAGGAAATTGAAATTAAGTCAAAACATTGAGGCGACCGACAAAAATTATTGCGACCGCGATCGTCGACCGATCTCCTGATTATGATGTCATCATCCCTCGCGACACCCGGGACTTTTGGTTGAAAACAAGGCCCCTTGGTTTCCTCGCGACGTCTAATGACTCCGTCGGCGACATCTCAAGTGTTATCATGTGCGGCGGCCTAAGCACTTTTCCTCGGAAAAGTCATAAAACGCGGTGTCGCCTTTCTTTCGGAGTAAGTCTGGCTTTCGTGCGCTTTCATTACACATATATTTTCGTTATTTATCGAATATTTTAATAAATATCATGCAAGTGTATCGAACAATCATGGAACAATCCTAACATAGGAAGTAGACGCGGTTGCCGAAAAAAGGTCAAATTTGTCAAATTTTGACAAAGAATATAAAATGTAAAAGTTTAAATAGTCGGAGTTTGGGGAGGGGGCATGGCCCCCATGTCCCCCCTTTGGCCCCTTGGATCCACCACTGATGTATGATAACCGATTCTAGCATTTTTCCGTTTTAGCATTTCATCTTACACATTGTTTGAGACAGACATTTCTATTTGGTCTATATAGGCATCCTCTTTTGTTTTGAGGGCCCCCATAGCTGTTAATTTGAGCATGAAAAATTTTGAGGTTTGCCAAAAAAATTGACATATTCAGTTATAAGTAAAGGAAATAAAGAATAGTTAATATTAGACTAATTTAACATGTAATAAATATTTTTAAAAATGTTTTGAAATTGTACATTTTATTACACAGTAGACTACTTGATTAACAATTATTTCACAGACAAAAAAAAATATGGTATGCAATTTTTTCCGAAACGCGGGGCCCCTGGCGAATGGGGGCCCCCAAGCAACTGCTTGTTTTGCTTGTAGGTAAATCCGGCCCTTCTCGCCGAGAAGCGGCAAGTAGCGAGATTCAAACACGTTTGAATCTCAGACGCCGCCGTTTGTAGCGCGTTCGCCGCTTTACCGCGGATGTCGCTGACGCAAGCCATGCAAATAAGCTACTGATTTTTTTGAAATTTGTCACTTGAAGCTGTCGCGTGACACTGTCGCAAGATGTAA